CTTTGCACATTTCATTATAGTAATTGGCTTTGTCTTTTCGAGCTGCTCTCTGAAATCTTCTGTTCAGCTCTTTTATCTTGTCATTTCTTTTTGCTTTAGCTCCTCTCCATTCAAGGGCAAGTTTCAGAGTCTCTTCTGACATCCATTTTGGTCTTTTCTTCTTTTCTTTTTAATGACCTCTTGCTTTCTTCATGGATGATATTCTTAATGTCATCCCACAGTTCTTCCAGTTGTCGGTCATTGGGATTCAGTTAATCAAATCTATTCTTTAGATGGTCTCCAAATCCAGGAGAGATATATTCAAGATCATATTTTTGCTCTATGGACTTGTTTTAATTGTCTTCAATTTCAACTTGGACTTGCATATGAGCAGTTGATGATCTATTCCACAATCAGCTCCTGGCCTTTTTTTGACTGAAGATATTGAGCTTTTTCATCACCTCTTGCCACAGATGTGGTCAATCTGATTCCTGTGTATTCCATCTGGTGAAGTCCACATGTATAGCCTCCATTTATGTTGTTGAAAAAAAGTATTTGCAATGAATAAGTCATTGGTCTTGCAAAATTCTGTCATACAATATCCAGTGTTATTTCTGTCACCAAGGCCAAATTTTCCAACTAACAGTGATTCTTCTTTGTTTCCAACTTTTGCATTCCACTTACCAGTGATAATTAATACATCTTGAGTGCATGTTCAGTTAATTTCAGACTGCAGAAGTTGGTAAAAATCTCCAATTTCCTCTTCTTTGGCTTTAGTTTTTGGTGCATAAACTTGAATAATAGTTGTATTAACTGGTCTTCCTTGTAGGTGTATGGATATTATCGTATCACTGACAACATTGTACTTTAGGACACCTCTTGAAACAGTCTTTGTGATGATGAATGCCACACCATTCCTCTTCAATTTGTCATTCCCGGCACAATAGATCATATGGTTGTCTGATTCAAAATGGCCAAAACCGGTCCATTTCATCTCACTACTGCCTAAAATATCAATCTTTTTGCATTTTATTTCATTTTTGACAACTTCCAGTTTTCCTAGGTTCATACTTCATACAGTCTGTGCTCCAATTATTAATGGATATTTGCAGCCATTTCTCCTCAATTTGAGTCATGCCATGTCAGCACATGGAGGTCCCCAAAGCTTTACTTTATCCATATCATTAAGGTTGGCTCTACTGTGATGATGCAGCTCTTTCCCAGTCTTATTTTGAGAGCCTTCTGACCTAAAGTGCTCTTCTTCCTGTACTGTATCAGTTTCTGGGGTGTTCATAAATTTGCTCAGTAATGTATCAGACAGTGTTTCTCTGCTATTCATAACGTTTTCCTGACCAACTCTTTGAGAAGTGGAAGGCCTCTTCCTTCTTCCTAGTCTTTCTCAGTCTATAAGCTATGTTGAAACATATGCACCATGTGCAACCCTATTGGGTTTGAGACACTGGTGGCATATCCTCAAGCCTCACAGCAACACACAAGCCACCACAGTACCACAAACTGACAGAGAAGTTTGTTTCCCTTAACTGTTCAGAACCTTTCTGCCCTCCCCTTACCTGGATCTCTGCTGCTTCTCTGCTCTGTTGTCCTCTCTGGCTTCTCTTTCCTCTGCTTTCCTGCTTCTTGGGAGTGGGGCCTGGGTCCCTACCCTTACCTGGATCTCTCCTTTTGCTATGCTGTCACAAAGCCTAGAAATAGCCTAAATCTGTATGATCTTATCTCTCTCCTTCTTCTGTTCTGAGGAGAAAACCCATGATCAAAGTTTGTATTTTAAATATAGCACCCTAGAAAGTTATGTTAGATTCAGTATTTATAGGCATCACACTAAATTATTTCATAAATTGGGATGACTGGAACAATAGTATTGACAACAGTCTGTATTGGTTGGCTACTTTTGGTGCATCTTTCTACAAAAATGCTCAAAGTTTCATGGCCAAATATCCCTTTCCCAGGCTTAGATCAGTACTGGATGGTCAATGTTAACCTTGGTGAGTTTTCTTTTTGTAATCTGCCATAGCAGGAAAATTCCTTTTCAAATGTATAATTCTTTAGCTTTATTTATGAAGTCAAACCTTGGAACCATTTATTTTCCTTAATGTAACTTGCATGTGTGTGTTCTTTATTTTTAGGTGTTGCTCTTACTGCTTAGTGCTTTGAGGTTAACTGTAATTTTTCTCTTCCAATTCTTAGCTAACTTCTCATTACAGCCAATAGATACTGATAACACCCTTCACTACCGTTTACTCACCATCTGGCATATAGTGGATCTTCTTCACATCCTTAATGGCAATTTATTCACACATTTTTGTCATCTCTTTTCTCTAACTTTACCACTCCAGACTAAGCAGAATAAATACCACACCAAATTAAGGAGTATAATTTAATTTGCATCTTGTGTGAAAACTACCTTAATATTTTAATTTCTCTTCTCTGGAACAATTCAGTATCTCTAAATGATAATGTCTAAAACATCTAACCAAACCAAACCTATTGTTGTGGAGTCTGTGCTGACTCGTGGTCATCCCATGTGCTTCAGAGTTGAAATACTCCTTAGCATTTTCTTGGCTATAGGCTTTACAAAAGCAGATCACCAGGCCTTTCTCTCGTGTTGCCACTAGGTGGGTTCCAACCACCAGTCTTTGGGTTAGCAGCCAATTGCAGACTGCTTGTGTCACCCAAAACCAGCCAAACCCAAACCCACTGCCATCAAGCCGATTCTGACTCAAAGCAACCGTGTAGAGCAGAGTAGAACTTCACCATAGGGTTTCTGAGGCTGCAAATCTTTATGGAACCAGAATGCCTCATCTTTTTCTCATGGATTGAATAGTGGGTTCAAATCACTGACCTTTTGGTTAGCAGCCAAATGCCTTAACCATTATGCAGAGGTCCTTTGTGTTATCCAGGGACCTAAAATAACTAAAGTTTTATTCATTTGATCATTGAATAACGTTATGACATGATTGATTTTGTGTCAATTACAGGAAAAACTTGGTTCCCATTTTTACAGTTTCTTTCAAATAGCACATTTAATGGACCGGCTACATACTTTGCATAGCTTAATACAAAATGAAAATTCAGAGACATTTATTCAAAATTAATTAGTAATTTCAAGACAAAAGCAGAACATTAAGCCAAGCGTGGGAACCATCTGAGTACACACATGAAGCTGAGTTTGGTATAGGTGAAAGCTAGATATTAACAAACATATCCATGTCCTAAATGACTTTTTATAACTTTATAATTCATAAATAAGGTTTTGCTGTTGTTGAATGCTGTTAATTCCAACTCATTGTAACTCTGTAGGACAGAGTTGAACTGCCTTTTGTGGTTTCCAAGGCTGTAATGTTTACGGAAGCAGACTTGAACAGCTTTCCTTGAGGAGTGGCTGGTGGATTTGAACCACCAACTTTTTGTTTCACACTGATCACTTAACCACTGCACCAACAGGGCTCCTTTGGAATAATATAGTATATCAATAATAAAAGTGAATGAGTACTGTGATTTTGCTTTTGGCAGAAGATATTGCAGTGAATGGAAATACGTAGTTAATGTTAAACCACTTTTAGTTTCATCAGTATTGTTAACTGTGGTATAGTGCAGCCAGAGGACTCAGGAGTCATATTGCTTAGGTTCTAAAACCTGACTGTATTTACCAGGTGTGGATACTAACCTCTACCAGCTTTGGGTCATTGAGCACATTTCCTTATCTTTCTGTATATCAGTATACTCATATATAGGAATGATAACAGGAGATTATTGCATTTCAAATCATTTAAAAAATAACCAAATCCACTGCCATTGGTCAAGTTGATTCCAACTCTTAGAGACCCTATAGGACATAGTAGAAAACCCTATAGGAGTTTCAAGGCAGTAAATCTCTATAGAAGCAGACTTCCATATCCTCCTGCAGAGCAGCTGCTAACCCTCTCGGTTAGCAGTCAAGTGCTTTAACCCCTGCACCATACTGGTATGTAGTAACCACTCACAGTTTATTTACTGTGTTATTTCAAAATGCTTTATTTATTTTTTGTCCTCAGTAGATAAAATATGCCAGATATAATTTACTTTCTTTGATGTTTGGGAATTAATTCTTACTTCAACATTAAACATATTTAATGATATTATTTGTGTAGAATTAAATGTAACAGTTGGTAGATGAAGCATTTAGCTTATGATGCTAGAAATTAATGATGTGTTTGCTTTTCCTATAAGAAAATTGGAAAGGAATTTGTTTTTTAAACCTTTCATTTGAACTTTTTTCCTATCACCATTTGTCTTTTTCTAAAAATCAAAGAACTAAATCACCTGGTTAATAGAGCAATCCAGTTAATTGTGTTACAGTTAATAAGCTACATATTTTTTCAATCCAATTCAATCTAATCTCAGCATTGCAGGCATTCTTAAATACATTTAAAGGCAAACTTGTTTTGCAAGTAATCCATTGTGATTAATGCAAGTTATTTGCTTTTATGTTTTATGTCACTAAGTAAGAAATCTTTTTATATTAATATGAACTGTGTTTATTTATAATGATTAAAAATCTGTTTTACTGCTTTATGGAGGAGATATACTGATATATACTCTACAAACTAAATCTCTACCATCATGAAATACCATTTGAAATTTATTTAGTTTAAAAATCAAATTTAAGACCATATCAGACAGTAACTATACACTTTATTTTTCAGTATTGGTGATAAATTTGTTCACTTAATGATGATTCCTAAGTAGTATAAACTTAAAGGAGAATGCTCTAATCAGGTATGGGTTCCAAGTAAGGATATAGTAATACTGCTGAACATTTTACATTTTGTACTGCAAGAAGCTATTAAATAACTGAACAATATAAACATTTTTGTTGTTTGCAGAAAGTTGAAAATAAAGTGAAAAGCAGCACTACTAAATACCACACAGCTTTTCTAATCATCCTATGTACTTGACCACTTCTCTGTCCTTTTACTCATATTATGTCATATCTATATTTAATCTTTTTCTTCTTATATCAGACAGTATTACTGAAGTCTTCACTAACATCTACGTGACCAGTTTTGGCCCTGTCTCAGATACAGATATGGTGAGTTTTTTTTAAAGCATTTTTTGCTATTTGTAATGTGAAGTATGAGGGCTAATTTAGAATAAATAAATATATTTCGTGGTATAAAATTACATATTTATCCCATGCCTGTTAGCCTAACCTGATACGTGGAGGATGATGCATTAAGGATGCTGATTGATTGTAGGTGCTTAGGGCCAGCATGAGTGTTTCAAATCAACCCTTAGATTATGTTTATATTCTCTTTCCTGGCTTGTCTCCTTAGCTACAGTGTGAAAGCATTTGTTTAAATTATACACACACACACAACTACAGTCTGCTTTCAAACACACACACACACACACAACTACAGTCTGCTTTCAGTGTCCATAAGTCAAGTCTGAACAGTTTCATGAACAAAGGCTTTATGTAGAATGTGGTCTTAGATAGTGTAATAAATCAAAATCTTCCGCTTGGCATTGAGTGAGGTGGGTGAGTGTCATATTATCAACACAGTCTACATACATAGTTAGAAAATGAAAACAAAATAAACCTACAACAGTTGCTATCAAGTTGATCCTGGTATAGTCCTTGGTTGGAATAAATGGTTAATATGTTCATTTGGAAAGGTGGAAGTTGGAGTCCACCCAGAGGCACCATGGAAGAAAGCCCTGGAAATCTATTTCCAAAAAACAAGCCTTTGAAAACCCTGTGGAGCACAGTTCTACTCTGACATACATTGGGTCATCCAGCCGCAGTAAACTTGTTTTTGTGGAGTCGATTCTGACTCATGGTTACCCATATGTTCTAAGGTAGAACTGCTGCATAGAGTTTTCTTGGTTGTAATAATATATGTAGACCAGAAAACCTAACCCACCACTATGGAATCAATTATGACTCATACTGACCCCCATTGGGTTTCCAAGGCTGTAAATGTTTACAGAAGTAGATTGCCTCATCTTCTTTCCACAGGGTTTGAACCACCGACCTTTAGGTTAGCAGCCAAATGCCTTACCCACTTTGCCACCAGAGCTCATATATGCTTACTTTATATTTGTATTTATATATTTTCTTTGGTGAAAATACACAAACACACACCCATTCAACAATTTCTATATGTACAATTCAGTGACTTTGTTTATTTTCTTCATGTTGTGTCACCTTCCCAAATTATTTCACCAAAATTAACTTAGACTCACTGCCCCCTAAATTTCTCATCTGTGCTTTAGAGTTACTGTTGTCAGTCTGATCTCTTATATTTAATTATTTAATGCAGCACAACGCTTACGGCACACATTCTTTACTAATTGAGCTAAGCTGTTGTTTGATTTAAAGATGACTATCTTTAAATCAGATTTAACAGTAAAAACACAGTGGATAGTTTTGGTTCAAGGTTTAAAGATTACCTCAGGGCAATAGATTTGGAGGTTCCTCCAATTTCAATGAGTACAATAAGTGGATTTTATAAGAATTTGGAATTCTATTACACATTTTATCCTTTTTGATGAGGAGCCAACTATTGAATACTTGATCAAAACATTCAGGAACAGTAGCTGGATGCCAGCCAGTTCCTCTGGTCTCATAGCAAAGGAGACTGTTGCTCATGGAGGTGTAAGGTTCATCCTCTGATTCCTGGGTCTCAGTCTTCTTTTGCTGCTTCAGGCAAATAAAGACCAACTATATCATTGATAGCTGCTCATGAGCACTTAAGACCCCAAGCACTACTAAATGAACTAATAGATAGAACATAAACTCTACAAATGATATTAGGCCAAATGACTGGATTGTCTCACAAAACTATGACCTTAATCCATCCAACCAAGAAAACTAATTCCATGAGGTATTTGTTTGTACCTAAGTATCAACAGATAGAAAGTAGTATCGTTGGCTATGATCTTTATGGAAGCAGATTGCCAGGACTTTCTTCTGTGGCACCACTAGATGGGTTTCAACTGCCAACATTTAGTTTAGTAGTTGAGGGCAAATTGTTTGTGCCACCCAGGGACCTTACAAACATAGTAGGCCATATAAATCAATCTAAAGCATATTAGAATCTTGACTTTCTTGGATTCTATGGAACTGGTGTTTATTTATTTATTTTTTTCTTTTACATGAGATGAGTAAGAGAGGGAGATTGGTTTGGTGGGTTAGAAACATAAAAGATAGTTCTTGATTAAGCATAAACATTTTTATAACCAGTCTTCCATTTGTATTGGACACTGTAGTTCTGTGTAATGGATATTTTGTTGAAATAATTTTTTATAATGATTTCTGTTTTAAGAAATTATACTTCATTATACTGGTTAATGTATATTAGAAATAATGATTTATCATTATGTAGATTTGGATGTGATCTTGGTTAATGGCAAGAATGAATTGACAGAGATCTCTTTTTGAAGTAGTTATTATTCCTCTTTCTCGCCCCCCCTTAGCCTTGTAAGTATGCTTTTAAGGAGATCTTGTTAGTATGATTTATTGATATTATACTGACTATATGTATTTGTAATGACAAAGAACTAAAGCTTAATGCAACAGTTAAAAATGATATGTGGAGGGAAAGGTTTCTATTCTGTATTCAAACTGAATTTATTGGGATCAGGTAGCCTGGTAATCATTTAAGGAGTTAGTCCATATTTTTATTTTTGAATAACATTTAGAAGATTATTTTGGGAAACTCTAGAAGACTTTGTTCATAAACATATCTGATGCTATAGGTTGGAGTCAAGGCATATATACAGGGCTGGACAATGCTGGATAACCTAAGAAGACTAAAATTCTAAGTTCTAGAAGGCAAGATATAGTCCTTCTGTTGGGAAAAAAGCAAACTAAACTAAACAAAAACAAAAAAAATGTAATATAAAGTATAAGAAATGACTACCACACATAGCCAAAATTTTGGAGCAACAGGAGAATTCTGACTATTTACTGTAACCCTTACACCACACTAGCAGTGTCTTAAATTTTGACTTGAAGTATTAATATGCCTCTTTCTATAGGTGAGTTTAAATGCATGAAGTTTGAAATGATGACAGATACATAATTATCCAGAGTGTATATTCTAAACATTTTTGTAAGAACAGTCTTACTCTGGAGCTTGGTCCTAAATAGTAATAAGACATTGTGAGAATGATTTCTAACCTCTATGTGGAATCAAGTAGAGAGATTCAGAATTTCATCCAGAACTACTTGAGAGACTAGCAGAGTATTATATATAAATTATGGCTGATAGATTTATCAGTGGTGTCTTATTATGAGCCAAAACAGAAAGGCAAACACAATATCATGCCCAAATATCATGGTGTTTTCATGTTGTAAATTTTTGTATTGTGAATATTAGTGCTATCAGTTATTCCACTGAGGGTTTTCTTGTTTGTTTGTTTGTTTTGATTGATTTGCAAAGGGGATTATTACCTATAATGACCAACCCATTGCTTGGGTCAGTCTTGTCGATTCTGAGTCATAGAGACCATATATATTTACAGATAGATAGGTAGACAGATATAGATACATACCTACATATATACACACATATACATGTGTGTGTGTGTGTGTGTGT